GCAAAACTCGCAGTACCATGACAACTTTCTCTAAGGACGAGTGAAATGCGCCCCCACATTGACGACGTTTATCATCACGAGATTATTTTGGTCTGACGTACATTTTGCAACTTTACTACAAAATTCGCCGGTTCCGCAGAAGCGATAACGACGACGTTAACTAAATTGCAGTAAATCAAGCTTGCTGAATGGTGGAGAAAGTGCAATTTGAAATTTTAAGAGGATCACTACACCTCGCATTTTCTTTCTACTTCATTAATATACCAACGCTTCCCCCATCAACCCACTTATCTCACACATTCTTCCCCTTCTCATACTTTCTACTTCTTGCCCTACAGCTCATCCTACCTTTTCTGCCTTCCCTTTCCCACTCCTCTCCTCCTAGTAGTCTCCACTTCTGAATTCTCATCTCCCCTATTGTCCTCACAACCACATCTCGCGCATTTATTCATTGCTACTGAATTAAACCCAGTGAAGACCTAATATATGTAGAGAGAAATGCACTTCTATGCCTCATTGTCTTGGGAGCCCCAGAGGCTTGTCTTCACCAAGCACCAAAGTGATCCGCGATTGGCCCCACCACTACCACCACCAACACTTCTTCGCCATCCTTCATTCCACAAGGCGACGAGTATTGTAGATGCAAGGCAAAGGGAGGTTCGCACACTTCTCTTCATGTAATTCAATCCCAATTATTTAAATACTCTTATGCGTAGATATTTTAATTATCTACTCGTCTGAGCCAATTCGTAGGCTACCATTTTGCCACTACGTAGAGGCACGTGCTTGTAGATGGATTACATCAATCGTTGAGCAAAGCACGGCGAGGCCGATCCCTGCAAATTGCACGCTCTATTGACGTGCATCAATTGAAATTCATGATTGACATGGGCGAACACGACTACTTGCATGCACGACAGCGACCTAATGGTAGTGGCAATCTTCCGTCAGTTGGCGCAAAACATCACCAATTCCATCCATGTGCAGCATCTCTCGCGCCCACGTAACCAGTAATTCTCACGCCGCATCGTCCAATATCCTCACGCTGCTTCTGTCAACACATGGTAAAAATGCTCAACTTTGCCAAAATTAATGCAAACAGTGTTCTGCTCAATTTATGATATCTCATTGCGCTGAGGCAATGCAAATCGTGAGATTAGAAGGTAAATTGTAAGGCGATGCCACGATCTCGGCTGCACGACATTACCCAGTTGGCCCGGAAACACGAGGGCATTGCTACAGCCGAGTTACCTTGTTCTTATTCACTAATGGCAAGAAAAGAAGGAGGATTGTAAGAGGTGGTGCCGAAATTAAAACAACTGCTTGAGAACTGCATTCACAAGGCTGACATGTCAGTCTGGGGTAAGATAGCAAGTGTATTTACAAAGAACAGGAAAGTGACCACACAGGGAAATCTATGTTTGGCATTTCCCGTGCTTTAGCATTGCAGCAAAGTTGGACGAATGGCATTGCATGGCGAC